ACCTAAAAATGTACTCAAGGGAAATGGAAAAGATAAGAGATAAGTGACTAGTTTGACAGTGCCACCATCAACATAACACCAACAAAACCCCTTTTTGGTGGAAAACTGATGTTGTAATTACTTATAAATAGAGAAAATGCTGTATCTTGAAGAATTCAGTTTATATTGAGCTTGGAAAAGCTGCATGTTTGACTGCCACCTTCCGGAATCTCCTGGCCAGAATGGTCATTATTTTAGTCCAAAATTCAGTTTTCCAAGCTGTGGGTTTAGAAGGTGATTTGCAGCTGAAAATGCAATGAACTACCACATCTGAGCTAATTCCCTCACTTCACATTCTTCCAGCTGATTTACAGACACAAATGTCCCTGATTTGTTCTCCAGATATTGGTAAAATAATCAATTTGCTCAAATCTCAGCACTTTAGTTCTAGCCACTGTGAACAGCAGCAGGGGAATGCACCCTCTCCTCAGTCCTTGTTTGGCATGCTGTTTTAAATTTTATTCTATAGTTCTTATGTTTGTCTATCTGTCTGGTGAACTGGATCCACAATAATGGTATAAAAATATTCAATGATTTTGTAATGGAAGCTTTTAAGAAAAATGTAGCAGATTGTTTAAGTATTTTACTGCCCTTCTGTAAAAATGTACAACAAATTCAAAACTCGTAAAACAACAAGATGGAAACCAGTAATGAAGGTGTTATGAAAGTCAACAGTAAAACAAAAATATTTTAAAAGCAAAGTTAAAGTGTAGCTAAACTCAGAGTTGGGAGAGACACAAGAAGCTTCTTCACATCTGTTCATCAGGCAGGGCTCTGCAAAGGATGGTATCTTCAAAAACATAGCAGTTTTATTCCTCTGAGAAAGTTATCCATATGGCAGCAGCACTCCATGGAATTTTTAAATATGTGTAATGATATCTTTGTGACTTGTAATGAGTTGTCAGGATTGCTTAAAGCTCCAGCCAGTATTTTATCTCTGTAGGGGTTAACCTGGGATATTCATAAGCCTGTATTTCAAAATGTTGTGGGTTTTGTTTTTTTCATACCTAGGAACAACATATTTTGTTTAAATACAGAAACTGGGTTAAGCAAATGTATTATTATTTATTACATTACCACATCTGTGTCAAGAATTTGACATTGCTCAATATTTCAATAATACTGTACATTAGCAAAAGTTTGGGTTGGCAGAGCTGCTCGAAGAATTCTGATCGCTGTTTCACAAACTGATGTTTTGGTCCTCAAAATGTAGTGATATATTATCGCTATTGTGTTTCTCTCCCCCCCCCCGCACGAGGTAATACTAGAACGTCTACTTTTGCCTAATATTCCAGGGTGTGCAAATGATCTGACACATGGTGATGTTTAGGCTGCCTTCCATCAGCTGTAGATAAGAAAGTATCTTTTCTTACTAATATCTAAATCAGTGACAACAAGCGGATACAAATGAAGTACAAGTGGCAATAAACTACTTTATTGTTTGGTTTTTTTTGTAATGCATTGTGTGAACACTAGGAGAATCACTTGGTGCCACACAGGAATTACACTTGCAGGGACATCATGCAATCACACATTTGCACATAGTGTAAATGGGACTGTAGACCGTATACAGTTCTCTGGTGCATAGCAAAGCTTGCCTTGTAGTGGGAGCTTGGAGATTTAAAGCAGCCTGCTTGAAAGTGGCTGCTGAAAGTGTTTTCTAGGGGAAAACTACATGCATTCCAGCCTTTAGGGGCTTATATTGTCTGTGAGAAAGAAACCATACAAACTAATAACAGTCTGAGTTCGTAGGGTGCCAGGCCTAATGTTGCAAAATGGCATCGCCAACGCACAGGAGGGAGCTATTGGCATGCAGTGGAATCTTGAACTTTGCAGAAGTAGCAAACAAACAAAAAACCCTCTGAGGGAGAAGAGAGTAACACAACCAAAGATGCAACTGTACATGCAGGATGGACTCACCATAGGAATTATTTGCAACAGAATCATCTCTTCCTCTGTGCCCCTGGCCTTGCTATACCTATGATGGCATGGACAGTGACCCTTTCTTGCTTTGTTTACAATATTGTAAGATATTGTTTACAAATATTGAATAATTTCAATATTTTAATACTCACACACATATATATTCTCTCCTTTTTTCTCTCATTTTACAATGCTTTGCTGGCTATTGAACACATCCTAGTTTCAGCAACTCCTCTGACTCTTAGATTTTACTGGTTTCCATTTAAGTTGGTGAATTTCAAAGTTCCACGTGAAGATTATGACCATGTTGACTCAGTTGAAAAGGTTAATCATCCTTACTGAGTTTTGCAGCTGCCTGATATAAAACAGTTAGGAATATCAAGGCTTCAGCACTGGAAATTGGAATGGCCTTATGAAATGGAAACACCAGACTCTAAAACAGTGTAATAAAATTCAGCAGAGATAAAGTTAAGTTTGGGGATTTTATGAACAAAACTGTGGAATGGTAGCTTGCTTTCACCGTCTGGACACCGTGGCTAAAGATGAGTGAAGGTGATGATGATTGTGCAGTGGAACCTGTTCTATTTGTATGCAGTGTCTTTCACTCTTCAAAATTTAGCTCAGCTTCTGGTTGTATGTACAATAAATTAGTACAGTAGTTCTAAAAGTAGTGAGATTCCTTTATGAACATTAACTCATCTGGACGAATATGTAGAGCTTTTTCGGGGCAGAAAGGAATGAGGCAGGATGCTGGTGATTTAAAAAAAAATTAACTGCTTGCAGTTGCCTTCTTTCTAATAGTAATTTTACATCTCTTAGTGTAGGTGGAGGAGGATATTTATGATGGAGTGAACGTCCATAAAAGCTAAGATATGCTTTGTTAAAAAGAAGAAACAGCATTTTCTTAGAAAGCCACACTTTCCCCCAGGATTCTACTGTGCCACACTTGTACAAATATATACATTTCAATCAGATCCTGCTTAACACTTAACACATGGATATTTATTATCTACTTGCCAACAAGAGTCTGATTGTTATGCCGCTGAATGTTTGTATAAGCACGGGCAATCCTGCAGGACTGTAAAGAGTTTCAATTTTAATTTCTTCTAGAAACTATTACAAACATCCTGTGAAGGTGCTGGAGAAAGAAACAGCATCTGAGGAAAAAAATGCTGAGGATAAAATTATCCCTGAACTTATAAAGAAGAATACTAGACATATTTCCATAGATTTTCTGTTTCAATGTTTGTTCCTCATGACTGCTTGATAGGATATATTTAGTAGCTGTAGAAATAGTATTTTGTAACCACCTTTTTCTTTTTCTTCTTGTCTAGGAAACTTCATTTTATTTTATGTCAATATAGTTATAAATCAAGGGCTAAATTAGCCAGCTTCATGACAATATGGCGACCCTCCTCAGTTGTGGTGTTTTGATGGAAGGAAGATAAGTAATAAAGAGTCCCCTGTGTGTGAGAAATAGGGAGAGCCTGCTGTTTTAATTTTGTTCCCAGCGGTTGGCTGAACTTTGTTCTTTCAGCATCAGCCTTGATTATAATGTAGGAATTCAGCCCCTTGCATATCTCTGAGTCTGTATTCATTAAAGGAGTCTCTGAGAAGAGGGAGACACACAATAAATAAAACTAATACACTACTGAAATTTACACAGAAATTGTTCCAAATACATATATTTACAACTGTGTGAGATTTTCTTTATAGTTTTTAAATACCACTGCTTAGACATAGCAGTTCTACAGAATTTTATTTGTGTTTCTTGGGGAAATGAACAGAATGGCAGGGTGTTTCACCTTTATTGAAACATGGAAGTTCAGATACTCTAAACAAGTTACCTGAAGAAGCACAAAGATTTAAAGGTTTTTTTTTAAAAAAAATTGTTTTTAAGCAAAATTTACTCTTCCCAAATGTAGAGTAAAAGGCTGTGTTTGATATTCTTGGCATCAGTAGATATGATAGGGCCAAAGCAGGACGTTAGCAGGGATGCAGCTGTGATCAATCAGTGAATTTAGACAGACATCTCGGAGATCAATCAAAAGTAGTTCAAAATGGTGGAGAGTTCTCTTTTTCCATACGTCATCTGAATTCTGGAGGACCAAGGGTTCTGCTGATTTCTGCTTTCATTTCCAAATTATCACATATTACATGACATACGTCCATGTAATGGCGGCATTCTGCGACTGTGCAGCTCGCTCGTGGCTGTGCAGGTGGCAGAGCATGTAACTCCATCAGCCACGTACTGTATACACACTGCTGCACCTCTAGAAATATTTACTTAAGATGATTTGCTATAGGATACCTTCTGGCTTCAGATTGTTTTATGTCAAGTGGTAAGGGACACTTTGTAATTTAAAATCTACCAGGATGAATTAATTCAACTTTTCTTGTTTATTTATGTTATCATGATGAAGATCTATTTACAAAAAAAACTGTGCATCTAATTAATTCAAACAGCCTTGGAAGCTTGCAAATTGCTCAAACTAATTGAACATTTAGTCAGGTGTCTCGTTTGGGGTCAGTTATTGAGAGTTCCAAACTTCTTGAACTATTTCATTGTTCTATGTGTTTGCATGAAGAAGATATAAGCACAAGACTGTTGAGAGTTAAGTGCTGGGAGGGGGGAAGCCATGGATAATCAGAGAGCTTTCCCATATTTCTATCTTCATTTTGAGGCAACTGACCCATGTAAAAAGTATCATGCCTATAACATTAATTGGACAGGATTGTCTCACACCAGGTACTGATGATGACAAGCAATGAGCAAATGGATATAATTAGAATAAAATCCCCAAGCTTTTTATATCTTTGAATATAGAAAGAACTACTATTAGTTATCTGTAAAACCTCTGGAAATAGGGTCCTTAAATAAAGGATTAATAAATAATTCTTTGGGTGTGTATATGTGTGTATATGTTTGAATATGCGATTCTGAAAAAAATGTACTTAGAATTTTCTATGGGAAGATGCTTTGCGATATAAGACTAGAAATGACTAATCCATCCTTTTCTTTTTTCTTTACCTTTCAGGTCTACGCACAATGAACTAGAAAAGAACCGGTAAGTCACAAATGGACAGGATTCTGAGGAATGTAATCCCCCCCCCAGTGTGTGTTGACTGTAAAATCCTTAAACTGTCCCCAAGCTCTGTCTTCCTAAGCAGCCTCCATGTTCTTCTCTTACAATCCCCAACCCATCATGACCATTGTTTGCTGGCTGGGGATGATGGACCTTGTAGTCCAAAACAATAGAAGACCCAGGGAATGCTATCCCATGTTATTCTTTGGCAGTCAGACAAGGTAAGTGTCTGGAAATACATCAGCACAATCCATGCAGAGATTTGAAAAAGCAGGGCCTCTCCCACACTCCCTGAAATGCAAAGAATTGACCCATTTTTGCAACTAATCTGTATGCCGAGGAAATACTGTTTCTCTTCTCCTTGCAAACTGAAATCTGATTGGGTCCGTGGCCATACATGAGGTTGCTAGGGTATCAGATTTCTCAGGCACTGGTAGATGTTCACCAAAGAGCTGAAGGTTTGTGCCCTTCCGCCTTTTTTCTCTGCCTGTCAGCCTTATCATGGTTTCTCTACAGGAAAACAGTATTGTCCAATGGCCTCCAATGTCTGGCTAACCATTTGTCCTGTGGAGTGGTGCTCTCATAACTTGCTTCAGGACATTCGCCTGTTTTATCCTTGAGTCCCAATTTTTAGCAAGCTGTGCAGTTTTGTTGCTTGGCTAGTTCTACTCTATGACTCATCTCCTTTGTAACAGGAGTTAGAGTAATATAAATACTACTGAGACAACAGGGAATTAGTTCACACGCAGATCAGGTTATAGCATTGCTTTCAAGATGCTATTGTTATACCAGGGTTTCCTATTTATAAATTTATCTTCAAGACTGGGGAGGGATAGGCTGGTTGAATCTACAGTCCCAGGCTCACAGTTGTGCTCCTGTGGAAAGGAAAACAACATCCTATGTGTGTGTGTGGGGGGGAAGGGTAGAATTATTCAGTATCTATTCAGATTATGTTGATAATGAGAATGCTGCAGGGTCACCCTGGCCTAGTATCCTGATTAAAGGCAAGCAGGAACAGTAGAAGCTACATATCTGTACAAAGTCAAAAGATTGTATGTGCCACTTTCCTCTTATCACAGAGTTGTTTTGTTTTGGTGTCCTGGTTTGTCCCTTGACATTGCAAGCCTGTTCTTTTCTGTTTCCTGTATATGTTTACTTCCCTCAGTCAGAGTTGGGGACTAAGCTGACTGTTCTGCTGAGCTGACCATACGGTTTGGATGAATGTGCACACAGCTGTCTTGTGTTCTGAGGCACCAGTGATTTTGTGGAGGGGGAATAATTTTGCAGCAGGGGAGTGGGGACACTTCTAATACATCTGTGGGAATTTAAAGTAGACAGCATTACATAGGGTTAAAATGTTCAAAAAGAGAGAAAGGAAGGGATTGCTTAATAGAGGCATATGAGGCTGGGCCAAGATATGCTTCTCTCTCAGGCACAGAACAAAAATGGTAGCCCATTCGAAGGACAGAACTGACAGGACTGCCAGCAGAACTTTACTTGGGTGCTGGTGACAAGATAGTATAGCCCACTAAGCCTCGGAATAGTTTAGTGGATCAGGGTAGTTTTGGTCACTTTAGTAGATCAGGGACAAGCAAGATGTACAGGTCTTCCATTCAGGAGGGGAGCAAAACTGGGATGGAGGTTAGGAGGAACAGCCAGGGGATTATTGTGGCTGGCCCCAGCACCAACAGCTGCTACCCTGAAGGTGGTGGCATTCCGCCTATTGGCAGAGGATGGCCCTAGAATCATTGACTCAAAGTCAGATAGAAGGGGAAGTGCAGTCTGTGGATTGGGAGAAGGGCTGTTCCAAAAGAGTTCCTATGAAACCATAAGGAACATTACAAGAAACAAGGGCAGCCTTCGTATTTTATTGTACTGAAGTTCGTACTAAGAAACTTCAGAATGGATTTAGTTTCTGCTAACTACTTCTCCAACTGCATCTCTTAATTTCTTATGCTTTTGCCACCTTGGATCTATAATGTATGTTTTTTTTTCTTTTATTGTTTTTAAATTTGTAAACCGCCCAGAGTAGACCTTTGGTCTAGATGGGTGGGATAGAAATCCAATAAATAAATAAAAAATAGATAAAATAATATTATTGGTGAAAGTGTTCATAAACATTAGTTCTAGCAGATATATATAAAGGATACTTTTTTCAAAAAAGCTTATCAACACTTGTCTTGCCTTTAGAACTGTTTGGAAGTCTTCAAGACTGTTATTGCATCCCCAATGCAAAATTTAGATGATGACGGTGATTAATATTTATACCCATCTTTCCTCAAGTGAATGCAGGGCAGCATATAAGGCTCTCCTTCTCATGGATGATTGGTGATTTGAGGCCACGGCTCATGAGTACTAGGCAGCTACCCTATAACACTCTGGTTTATTAAGGAAAATAGTTAAAATGTTGAGGCAGGTGAGGAGGGAGGAATAGGCTGTTGCTTTTTCCATGAAAACTGTCCATAAAACCATCCTTATGTATGAAGAGGTATGTAGACGGAGTGCAATGCAGCAGACACATTCCTGTTGTGAACCAGGTTACTGCATATTATGTTTTAGTTTCTTCTTGGACAGTTAATTGGTGGAAAGAATGAGAAAACTACAGTGTTGGAAGAAGAGTCTGTCTAACCAGTGCATTTAGTAGTAAAGTCAAGGGTGGGCTCTATCACTACCATTTTGTCCTTTCCAGAGCCTGTTCCGGTACAGCTACAAAGATAATTGTGCTCTTATCCAGGAACTGTGCAACTTATTGTGTGATATGTTGAATGAGCTGCTTCCTCCCCTAATGTCTCCCCCTCCCCCACTTTGTCTCACCATTCACAAGCCAAATTCCAAATACTTTGCATGTTGTCGCTGTTCTTTTGTGCATTATGCATCAATAACATTGGACTTTGGACAGTCTTTAATTATCCGTTTTTGCTTTTGCTTTTATCATACTTTCTATCCCTATACTGGAAACCAGTTTGAAAAGTTTCTTTTTGGGGGATAACTCCCAGAATCTCTTGGCTAGGGTGCCCAGCAGCCATGCTTTTTAGGGTATTCTGGGAGTCTTCTTTTGTAGTCCAAAAACTGACTTTTCTAACCTCAGATAATTGGGTGGGGGGGCAAGCTTCTGTGGTAATCTGAGTCCCAATATTTTCTCTATTGCTATTGGAGTAGTCTAAATGAGTCCATTTTGAAAGTGTGTAAGAAGTAGCAAGATGTCCGCACCGCTGGAATGAAAGTCCAGGGTTCTGTGGCATGTTTGCCTTTTCTCAAGCCATTTCTGTTTCTGTCAGCAGATTTTCATGGATGTCCTGCTGGTTCAGTTAAAAGCATAAACAACAAGGGGAAAAAGAACAACAACAAAAGTTCATTAAGAACCAGACAGCACATTTTTGTGTTACCAGAGGAATCCATTTCTGGGCTCCAGGGCAAACAGAAGGACTGCTTCACCTTCATATTTTCAGAACTCACTATCTGTAGCGTCTTTAAGTCTGTGACTCTCTCCAGACTTAACTGTGGGAAAGATAAAAGCCCCAAATCTAATGGCTTTGTTGCAGGTGGTTGCTGATTTTTACATTTGGGCTGCAGGTGGGGGAAGTGATTACTTCATTTTTGCATTTCTCTGTTACCTCCATTATTGATATACCCTGTAATTTTTGAAATTGTCCACTACTGTATTAGATACCTGTTTCAATTCCTTCCCCCTTTCTTATACAAGCAGTTGCTTGTCTGATGCAGTGTTTAAAGTTTTTAACCCATTCAGGTCAGATAGATGTATATTTTTCTCTTTTAAAAAACCTCATAAGGATGAAATAATGGGAGACCTCACTCTTTAGGCAACTTTCAATCTAAACAGTGGCCTAAGTAGAAGGTGAAGGAACCAAACCTGTTCCCAAGCTCATGTGTTCCTCAGTCCCATTCCTCCTCTTGCACTGAGATAAGGAGTTTGGAAGCTATTACTTGTACTATTACTTGTGTCATCTGAACTGGCAAACCAGTTTGAAGATGGCTGCTTTTAAATCAAGCATGGGCAAGCTGCAGAAGGTTGCGGGCCACACAAGCCTTCCCAACCACTACTGTTCCACCTCTGGTTATATAAAAAACATTCTGGGAAAGCTTTTCAGCCACACTGGGGGTGGGTGAGACAGGAGGCATCTGGGAAATCCTAGAGGAGCCAAAGGAGCACAGAAATTGCCTCAAGGGCAACATGTTCAAATGATCCTATAGATTCTCACCCACATTTTAAATCATAGTTTAAACTCAAGCCATTACAGTTTGTTAGCCCAATAAGCCACAATAGTTAACTAAATACAGAAATGAACACTTCAGAGCCCCTGTTGTCAGCTGTGCAAAATGAGAGGGAACACATGAGTCTGGAAGGAGATAAGATTTATCTTTGTTATGGTAAACTATAGTTTAGTATAACTTCAAAGTGCAGTGATAATATCCTTAATGTTAAAACAGTGATTAGGAGATTGTGAATGAAGTATGTTCTTAATAACATATCCTATTTCCCTTTTAACGTTTGTTTTTATCGTTGTGTAAAACCAGGTCTGCACTGAAGTTAATGCTCATCTTTACCTAGAGCTTGGAAATGTTGGTGTTAAAAACACATTTGTCATTCTAATTTGTTTCGTTAACTATTTTTGGTTGTAGTGAATATTGTGAAGTTAATTTGACACATTAATCATTATAGAGATTTAACTTTTTAAAAATGGTTTAGAATTAAAAATGGTGAATTATCCCCAAACATAAGAAGTTTTTAAATGTATTTTAATTATTAATCAGACTATTAAAACTATTAAAAATAATAATAATTAGAATAGCTAATTATGAAGTCAGTTAAATATTATAACAAATTATGGGTAATGATATAGTGAGTTAAATCCAAGCACTGTCTTTAACCATTGTTTGCAAACTATCTTTAGCTTCTCACGTTTGCAGTTAAATCTGCATAAGATTTCATTTGGACATGGGGAGCAATTTTGCTTTGTTTA